GATTTCCCTATTTACTCATCTGAATTCCTGAAGGGCAGAAACTATTCACTGTATCATTGTACCCCAAAAAAAACATAGAAAGGAGGCTTGCAAACAATAATCAATGATCTACTTTATTGAACTCTCTAGAGCTGCCTTTAGCTTCATACACTCTATTGTGTGCCTTGTAGACTGACACACATAGAAGCCATTGAAAACCTCTCTTGAGTTCCACCAATAGAAGGCGTTCATAGGAGATTTGAGGTCAGAAGAAGAGTGAGGTTGAGGTAGGTTCCTCTAACTTTCTCCTTGTCAGGTTTCTATGGGTTAGCACTATCCATTTAGTAAAAGCCACAACAATGTTCAAAAACATTTCATGAAGCTTTGTTCAGAAATGACAGTCATGAGCTTAAAAAACTAAAAGAGAAGAAAACTGTACAAACCACAACAAAAATAGATCATGTCATTTCCAGAAACCTGAAATTTATATTAGGCTGAAAGTCAGAAAACTATTTAATGTGATCTATGTGGTTTGCTGTTAAAGTACAGCTCAATGAGATTGAATTTTAAAATAAATTTTAATGTCCTCATATTTGCATTTTGATGTTTGCTTTTGTCAGTGAATATAGGTTTTATACATGTGTACCTGAAAGACCTGCATCATGCTGGCATATTAGTCATCCTGAGCAGATGCTTAAAAAATCGTTTTCTAGTAACATCCTACAATCTCTCACATTTACCCATGGCAGTCTCTGCTCATGGTATACTTGTTAGAGGACTTGACTTAAGTCCTCTACTATCTAAGATGATTTTTCTTTTCCAGATTAATAATAGTTGATAGATTTTGAATCCTATTCAATATCACTCTAATAACTGCATGATGAATCTCAAAAGGGACTCACAAATCAGAGAATCTTAGCAATTAAACATATCCCTATGGTGAAACCCCATAGGATTTTTTGCTTTTCTTCTAACATTTATCACAGTTGAGAAAACAGATGGTGTCTTTTCTCCTTTGTGTTCCTTGCAGCCCCTAGCAGGGTGATTGGCACATTGTAAGTAAGCAGCACATGAATGCTGGAATAAACTGAGGGGTCATTTAGTCACACCCAATGGCTTAAAACAAGACATTTCTGCACATTTCTAAGAGACAGTCACATAGCTTCTGTCTGAAACTTTGTAACATTGTTTAAATATACCTTATAACTTAACCAAATTTCCATCCCACTTCTAAACAAGCCCAAGTAACTGGTATTAGTGCTCTTGACTTAAGTCTTGTCTTCTAACTTAACATGCTTAGTTCTTTCTATTTTTCCTTCAAAACTTACTATAGTATAATGATTTCAGTTCATGTTCATCTGATTATTCTTGTTTGTTACTATCTCTGTTCAACTATGACTGCCCTCAGATTTGATCGAATTATTGCAGTAACACTCCAGTAATTTAAGAGAGTTCCTTCAATTCATCCATCTAACCTAATAGTTCTCAAATTTTATTGAGTACTAGACTCTCACGGGTACTAGTTTAAAATCTAGAGCCCTATATCCTGAAATTCTAATTCAGTAGGTCTAATTCATCAGGTTTTCATAATCTAACTTAAAAAGAGGATGTGACAAACTATTTCTATGTCTGATCACTATCCTTATTTTAACACTGAATGAGTTCCATTGCCTTTAAAGAGTATTACATCATACTGACCTAAATGCAAAGACAATTGTTAGCATTTATAGAAAACAAAGACAGTGGTATGACAAACCACACACCATTATCCAACTATTCAATTAGAGAAGAGGTCCTTCTCAGAGAAGGTTTATTAGGTTCTGACTTTTCAATAGAGAGAGCTTCTGTTGTCTTAATAGGCTTTACTCCATGTCACAGAGATGCAAAGTGCTGAGAAAAACACATCATGAGTACTTAAGTATTTTTTATTTATGCAAAAATGCATTCCATCATTTTTTAAAAAGAGAGAAAGATAAAAAAAGTTTGGTAACATGAGGAGGAATATGGACCAAGAAGAGAGATGACATTAAACTTAGATATGCACGCAGGTCAACATTTTAAGGATTCTTAAAGAATAATTTGTAATATCCATAAAGAAGACTCATTATATATTACTATATTGCTAATAGTTAGAATCTCATCGATTCTGCATGCCATATTTACTCGCTAGTGACCAATGACATGACAAACTATGTCTTTGTTTGAGATATAAGAGCAAAATATTGGTGGGAAGATGGTCCCTATTATTCATATGCATGTTTAAATGCAATTCTACCCATTAGGGTGTGGTGCTGGAATAGGGACAGTGAGATTATAGGAAAGTCTTTTCAAGTTTACCAGACTGAACAGTAAATGTATTGGCTCTAGGTTTTATTAAATAGAGAATGATAAATCACTATTGTATGGAAAAGATTTTTCATTGAGATTAAGAAGAATGCTGAGATAAAGTCTTCATACCATATAGGAACTACAAATGGTCTTGGTCATTTACACACTACTATAATTTCATATTCTGTTAAAATCTTTGTATACTTATACATAATCATAATGTAGTACAAAGAACTGATCAAAGTTAGGCTAAAAATAATAAAGTTTAACAGAAAAAAACTATACTTAGGTTGAACTGTGTATATAACAGAGTTCCTTCAACTTATTCCTCCAATCGAATGGTTCTCAAATATATTGAGTACTGGACTCTCACAGGTACTAATTTAAAATCTAGAGTCCTACACTCTGAAATTCTAATTCAGTAGAATTCAGCAGGTCTTCAGAATCTACCTTACAAACCACACTCCTCTTAATCCTGATGCAAGTGGTTTTCATACAACTCTTGGAGAAGTACTGAATTAAAAGTGTATTTAAAGCATTTTCATTTTATACGTTTTTTGAAACATTTATGTCCTATGTACCCTCAAAGTGAACTGCTGGGGCCAGTGGTTACTAATCAGAAAAGAGAAGAAAGGCATATTTATGGATTGTCTTTTAAAACTTGTTATTTTGAACTAATTTTAGGCTTATAGATTGATGCACTATCTTAAAAGGACTAGTTTTAGGTCGTTCTATGATATTGAGCATGATGAAATGATAATATATGTGTGTAGCAGAAACATGAGAATTGGGCTCCCTGTTTGTTCATTACCTAGCTTGTAATATGACTTGCCCAAATATATTTATATAGGCTTCTAATATTTTAGCTTAATTAGCCCCATCTATTGATATATGATATACATGCTTCTTTTTGTATTTTATGCTTCAAAATATAATGCCAGTCAACTTAGTAGGTGGACCAGCCATATCATATTTATAGTATTTATATTATAGTAAGCCTTTAAAATTATACAATTTTAGAACATACCTTAAATATTTGCTGCTAAATTTTCCATTGAAAAGAAGTATCTGTGCTCTATGCAATCATAAATTGATTTTATCCAGCTATGAAAAGTTAAAAAGAAAAATTTTAGCATGTGGGTATGCAAATGACCTGTACACAACCTTTAAACAAAATATGTCCATTAAAGATTTCAATTCCATAGTATAGCTGAACTTTGTCATTACTACATGTTTAAAGCAATTTTAAATATTTATTTAGCTTAATTCAGCATAAGCCATTTCATCCTGGATTTTAATACTGACCTCAGAACATATACTGATTGAAAGAAGGAATCATTATTATGTATTAATGGTGAAAATTAAGTTAAAATGTATTTTAACACACTTGTGAATTTCTAAAGCTGACAGCAATAAGGAATGTATTAAGAAGACATTATCTCTTTATTTTTCAGATGAAATATATCACTTTTATATTCTATAGGCAGAATGAGACCCACAGATATGGCAGTTGTATTTGAATATTATATAGTCAATATATTTAGAAATTAAGTCTGTTGAATCAGCTGAATTCTTCTGTTATTGGTCACTAGTAAAAAATAATCTCATCAATGAGAGACAGTTGTCACTGTTAATTAAAAATCCCTACTGTGTAAATTGGCATTTAGGTACTTGCTGATAAGAGGTTTCTGCTACAATAGGCTATTACAACTTCTTCATAATAGTTAAGGCCTAACACTGAAACCCTTCTGTGTTCTGTTTCAGTGACCCACTCCATAAAGTCACTGTGGACTGTTGTCCTTGTCCAACATCCTCAGAGCCCCATTAAACATCTATTTCACATCTCAGATCCTTCCTGATAAAAGACGCATGATCTGAAATCTTGGCTACAAAATAAGATGGGTCTAACAATGTTCACATTTGAAATTTTTCTTTCATGTGACTCAAATGGGGCCTAGCTTTTGCTTCTTAAAAATCATTACCCATGTTAGTATGTGCGTGTATGTGTGTGTGTGTGCACATGCATATGTGCTGGGGAGTGAAGATAACCGGATAGGACCTAGATTGTTAAAACTTTAAAACATCTAGGAAACCTCTTTGGCCAAGTTGGTTGATGTATCCAGTAAAGGTGAGTGTCAGCTAAGTATCCAAACACCTTACCTCTCCCCAGTGACCTAGAAGGTTTAGACCTGCCAGAAAAATTTAGCAAGATTACTGCCAAGCCTGCCTTTTTTGCTCTGCCAAGAGTTTCCATTGCAAAAGACTTCAGTAATGTAGATGGTTTCTATTAACACCAATACAAAGGTTGTGGGTCTAGTAAATATTAGTTAACAACAGTGTTCAAGACGCAGTGGTGATGGTGGGGTCATGTTGTCCAGGAGAGGAGGTGTTAGCCCAGTATTGTGGATTGTTAGGTCCTATTCTTGGCTCAATTACTGGGAAAGGACTTGACATTGAGCTTTAATAATATTTGGCCCTGATATTTCTGTTTGGAAGACATTGTAATAATAATGTGCTGTGTATTATGAAGTAGTTGATGCACTAGTTACCCAATAAACTACTTGTGCATGAAAAAACAATCACAGCTTGCCATCCTAGGGGTATAACAAGAGCACACTTACAATTTGGATAAATTTCTGAATAAAGTTAAACAAGGCAAATTATATAACTAGGTTAACTTTTGTGAACCTAAGTTGTAAATAAGTCCCTCAAGTAGTATTATCATTTTTTCTCATTTTTTTCATATTACTTGAAAAATTTTCAATATAATATAACAAATCATGAACTATGAAAAGAAAAAGGCCTACATTCTATATCTGGTCTTGCAATGTGCATGGGTAACTAAAAACTTCACATTATGGACAAATCAATAAAAATGAAAACTGTCAAATAAAAAGTTGACACTAACTTGGATTTACCCAAACAATATTCCCCAACCTAAATCTATTTCCCAAAGCCAAGAAGATTTGATAACTGTCCTAGAAACAGGTTGTAATTCATGAAACCTGATATCAACAACCAAATCAAAGAATTCCAGGAACTTCTTTCACAGGGTTGTACCTAATTTTCCCAGTTGAATGGGAGTATCTCTATTCTGGCTCTCATAGCATTTTGTTCTGACTCTCATTTGGCACATTTTGTCTGAAACTGCAGCTCAGTCCCAGCTGTGCACCTATGTATGCTATGACCTACAGCAAGTTAGCTAATCAATTTTTGCTTCCAGTTCATCATCTATAAATAGGAGTAATAATAGCACCTAGCCCATAAGGTGAATGCCAGACCTACTCCACAGCGCTTAGCAAGGTGTCCGATATATAAGTATCTGATAATCTTAACTATTATAATTATTATTCTCCTTATTATAATTGTTATTATTAGATATTATCATCACTCCCAGTTAGTGAGCTCTTTGTATCCCCACATAATGATCAATACATGATTTTTCACATTGCTTTTATAGTAAGAATGAAAAAGTGAATGACTGAATGGATGAAATACTGAATGGAAAAAAAAAAGGCAAGCACTTGAAAGACAGGGAGCTTATATACCAGAAGACAACATAATAACTAAAGCAGATCCTGATGGCAGACCTTTGTTCAAAATTTCCAGTCTGACCACTTCTCATTACCTCCACTGCTTTGCCCAGTCCTAGTCATGATCATTTCTAACCTAGATTATCCAAAAGTATTCTAATGGAAGACTGTGTTCCTGATATTGGCTTCTTTAAGGCTAATCTCACCTCAGATAAGACTCAATTAAAATTAATACTTATCATGTTACTTCTCTGCTCAAAATCCTGTAATGATTTCCTATCACTAAGGGTGAAATGTGAAGGTCGTTCAATGGCTGACCAGGACTCTACAAGATCTTATACTGCACCCCTACCTTCCTTCACCTTTGCTTTGTCTAGACAAGCTGCTGCTTCAGGGCCTGTCTCCTTGATGCTCTTAGCTTGAAATTCTCTTTCCCAAGACACTGCCTAGATTAATTCCTCATCTTTTAAACCTGTACTCAAATGTCATCTTTCTTAGCCATCCTACCTAACATTCCAACCCTGCCCTCCACTTCACACTTTTACTTCTTAAACTATTTTCCTATCCATCACTTTCCCTGATTTATTTTTCTTCTCAGCATTTATCACTTGCTAACATACCCTACATTTGTGTATTTATCTTGTTTACTATTCATCTCTTCTACAGAAATATAAATGCCATGATGGCCACCAATATTTTTTTCTACTGTTATGTTCTCAGCACCTACACGATGTCTGCTACATAGCAGGTACCTGGTACTTTCTGAACAAAATAAATGATTAAACCATTTTAATTATATTGTTTATTACTTAAAAGCCAGCTGTGATAGCTTCCCCTGGGGCCTTTGATATGCCTCTATGATATCTGTGTGTGTTGGGAATGTAGGGAAGTTTGACATAGAAAGGTAATTGAGGTTGAATTATTGGAACAGAGGAAAGTAATAGTGAGTCAGAAGACAGAACGTGGGAAAGGGATCACTGAGTACCTAGAATGTACACTGAGGATATTGGTCACCTGGGTGAGATTGGAAAGAGGTAAAAAGAAATTGGAGAACATCGTGAGGGAAAAAAATCCAAAAAACAGAAAATCCAATAAGCCACATTTCATCTACTTTATAATTTTGCCTTGTGCTGCCTCATTTCTTCTTCCAGGAGTTTAGTAAAGATCTTCAAAGGGAACATTGAGCTCCAGCGCTGCTAAGACTCTACTCAGAAAATGGGCTCCCTACAGAAAGGGAGTCCCATGGTCCCAAACTCACCATTACCCTGCTCTGCAGAGCTTAGGATGCCAGACAGAAGTAAGGGATAGACAGAGGTTATTAAATTCTAGGATGTTTATGGAAAAGCAGAGCCCCACTAATCATACCTGTTTCCTCTCCCCATCTTTCATTAAGATGGCTTCTTTCATTCTTGCTTCACCTTCCTAGAAGTTGTCAGGGGTCAGGATTTGAAGAAGGCTTTGTTAGGAAAGGCCAGGGTTGTTAGCCAATGACAAGTAGAAGGCACTCATGGAAATAAGTAAACTATCCATAGTTTGTCATCTTCAGGGACACTCTTGAAAAGCTGATTTCCCATTTTAGGGTAATATACTACAAAAGAGGAGAGAAAGTATTCACTAAAGATGGCAGATGGGGACAAAAGAAATAAGTCATACTTTCACAAATTACTTGTAGAATTGTTAGTGATGTTACCTGAAGGCAAGTACATTTTTATTCACAGTTATTCACCTTATCATTTTATACAATTCAGTTCTGAATTGGAGATACACTTAAGATTTGAGATAGGAAAGAATAATTCCAACAGCCCCATACCAGAGCTTCTCCATTACTGCTTTACCTTCATGTAATTTTCGGTGTGTTTGTGATCTTTATTATTCATTTGTTGCCAATGTAATGTTTACAGTTAGGGAAAGTAGAGCAATAAATTATCACTCATCACAGAAATTATCCAAAATTTAGCAATAGGCAAAAGATATGAATGGCTGTTCTTTCCGTAGAGGGCTTCATTTGAGTCTATCAACAAAGTTACTTTACTGCTTTAGGCGTAGGGGTTAATAAGTATGGTTTTTTTCTAGTAGAAATGCAAATAATGTCTGTCCAATGGAATATACAACCTGAAATGTTATGGTTTATTATTATACTGTAGGATACTAAACCAGTTTTGTATCTAATCCTCTGATTTATTTTATATATATATATATATATATATCTGTGTGTGTGTGTGTGTGTGTGTGTATAAACTAGCTTCTCAAATACTCTTTGGACTAGTTTCAAGATCTTATTTGTTCCTTTATTAGGTAATGAGTTGAATAAAATCCTTGACTTGTTCATTTTACTTTTGTTATAAGAGTTGCTTTTAACTTCTACAAAATTATGCTTTAACACTAATATTTTTATTAGATCTCAAAATTAACCTATGTTCTATTGATTTTACCTAATGGGACATAGTCGATTGCCAAGTAACCTGATAATGCTTACTTTACAACCTGAAACATTACATTTATCATTTGTCTTTCCTGTTTTCTATAAACGCATCACCCTTTCTTCCCATCCAAGTTATTACATGGTTAATTCTTGGATTTTCATAGGCCTTGATCCATGCTTGTTACTTTATGACTTTGTAGCAAGTTATTTGTAAAAATTAATTTACCATAACCACCTAAGCAGTAGGCAACTAGAAAAAACACTTCATAGGTCAAATTTGTTTATGTCCATCGTTATCACTCTTAAAACAGATAGATAAATCAAAATAAAATATTAGACTTCACAGTGATAAGAGACTGAGTTCAACAAACAAAAATATTCTGAATGTCCTATGGAGGGTTAAATTTTAAAAAATGCCCAAAAGTAACACCACCACTAAAGATTATAATGCAAAAAAATTTTGAAAGAGAAAACTGTAATAGAATAGTCATAGAAAATTGATTTTTTAAAAAATAAAATTATGTGCTATTTTCTCCCACTACCCCTGTAATATGACACTTGTCAAGTGGCAGTCTGCAACTTTCTGAGTATTCATAGACAATAATTTCTTCTTAAGGAAATGTTTTATTTTTCTAGCTGTGGTCAAATTTTTCTACACTATTTTCATCTTCATTAAAGGAGAATAACAAAAAAATCAAAAAGAAACATTTCTAAAGATCATCGTATACAATAAGAGTATTCTATAATTCGGTATTCTCACTCATTCTTGCATGCAATCTCATTGTTATTTCTGGCCATTTCATTCTAGAAAGTGGATGAAAATCAAACAACCAATTTTTTAAGGAATTTATTAGCAGAAACTCAAAAATGAAATGAGAAAAACTGGTAAGGTTGCATAATAGGATTTAAGAATGTGATTTCTTCCAATTGCTGACTGAATAAAACATCAGTATTGACTAATATAGTTTAGAAAATTGTTAATATTCTTTCTACACTGTCAAGAAATATTGGTAAATAATATATTGTGTTAAAAGAGGAAGAAAACATAAATGACAAAAACTCCTGTTCCTAGTGAGATTTCATGTAATATGGTATTTAATTTTCTAAGAAAGTAAAATCTTGTTCATCTGACATGCCACATTTTCTGTAAAATTTTATGATAAACACTAAAAATCGAGTTACTAGGTTCCTGTTCATGTTCAAAGAGTCATCCCTCACGTTTAAATTTATGAGTAGTTTTGTTTAAAAATAAGATTAGTTTGTGGCATATCAACTATCATTGATTTAGACATTTTTAAATATTAACTATTATAAGCTAGAAATATTTTAAAAACTGAGGTCAGATTTGGTCCAAGGTCACACTAATATATCTCTCATTGTCTACTAGTGACATTTGCTGAATATTACCTCAGGCTACATTTTTAGCATTCCCTCTGGCATGTTGAGATTAGATGTGACATTTCTTGGCCAGAATAAAACACAAGGTCAATTCTAAAGAATATAATAGTGCATTTTTTCCGTGCAACTTTGCATTTGCTTATCTATAGTACACAGACAGTTCATTTTAAAGCATGGGACTTATGATCCACTACTGGCACATACTAAATCCCTCCTGCAGGATACCTCACCGCCATTGTCCTACACCTATATGACTACCTCTCAAGCCCTCAGCAAAATCCCTGAGAAAATAAACACAGTGGAAGGAAGAATTCCTCAGCTCCTACTGTAAGAGGCTGAGGGAGTTTATCCTTCTACTGCGTGAAAAATGTGGTAGTTTCATCAGCAGAATGTTTCCCACTGAGATAATGTTACAAGCGATGACTGGTATATGTAAGTCCACAAGAGCTATTATTCAACTTTATTGTGAATTAAATAAGATTTTGTATAACCCCAAACAAGTGTCAATTATTTGTTAAAGTACTTAGGGAAAACAACCTGTTGGTAGGTTGGTGGTAGGAAGAAGAATTTTGAAATGTCATTAATTATGCTTGGTATTTTATTTTTCTTCCTAGAACTTTAACATTTTTTTAAGTAACAATAATAGTGAAAACCCACATTTGGTCTGAGAGCCAGCTTAGCTCTCATAATCACCCTGTCACATCCACCGAACCTGATTAGAGTCAATTAGTAAATGAAATTAGTAAATAAAAATATACTTGAGTTTTGCTCTCTGAATGAAATGCAAGGCTTATATAATTCAAGCAATTTTCTCAACCAAAAATATAGATGCTTAGTTAAAATGAAGTAAAAAACATCTTATAAACTACAAACCATCTCCAAAATGGAAAAACAAAACCTATCAACTTAAAAATTAAAATACAATTATAATTACTTCTTGTATGGCTATTGGTACTGAGCGACATGACACAACATACTTAATATGCAGTAATGGGTTTATTTGCTTAGTCTAAGTCTTATCTAGAAAGGCACACCTAGAGGTGGGTTTAGGATCCTGATTACAGGATTGCATTATCAGTAATTCAGATGATCTGAAAACTTGAAAATAATGCCCTTACTCCTTGATTTAAATATTATCTACAACAACCATTATTATTAGGAGAAACTCAACAAAAAGCGAAAAGATACACATTTGCTTCTATATGCAGCAATATATCTTTGTAGCTATCTAGGAAATGTCACTGTATGTTGAAGGAACCTGCACTATACTACTTCAAACTTCTCTATTAAATAAAGTAACTGTCAGTAACTGGGTTGAAGCTACGGAGCACAGACAGCTCTTTATATCTATAAGGAGTGCAATGAGCCATCCAAGCTAACTCAGCAGAGAGAACATTCACTAACAAAATGATTGTGGAGACCCATTGACTTGATGGATGTCTGGGATTGTATGGCATAGAGGAGCCCATGACAAAAATGGTAACAGATTCGAAAGCCATTATCAGCCTCCCTTTATCCACTCTGGCATGGTTTATTAGCATGAGACAGGCTCCCTATTTCCTCTCTCTTTAATGATACTGTTCTATGAACCAATGAATGTTTTCATTTGGAAAATAAGAAAGCATTGACATGTTATGTGAACTGTGGCTTCTTTAGTGGTGCCAAGGGAATAAATATGCTAATTCTCTGCTTTGAAGAATGTACTAGGTAAGGCCCATTACTTCACTGATTTCAGTGATTTCTATACCCAGGTGAGAAAAGGTTAATACTACATACCACAGGATATTTCATTATGCAAAAGTTTTATGATTTAGGAATGTAATAGGGAATTTCAGTGACATGTTTTGATGTACTTTCAAGTGGTAATTTTCATATTCCATTCTCCAAAGTTTAATTCATCACTTGTTAATTAACTCAAAGCAATTTACCTCAAACTATTGCTTGATTCTTCATAAAAGAAGCAGTTACTATGAAAAGCTACCACAGAAATCTTGAAATATTCACAAAGTCTTACACAAATAATGCTTTTAATATAGGAATAAAAGACAATCTTCCTCATATGCACACAAATGTACAAAAACACATTCCTCAAAGAAATATTTCCTCAGAACATCAGCGCTTCCATAGAAGGAGCTAAAAAACAGCAGAAGTGCCAACTAGAAAGTTTTCCCTAGCTTTAAAACTGGAACGAAACAACTCTCAACATTTGCAAAACATTCCTTTATTATTAGAAATAAATTATTTGTATAAAAAATTGCATGCATCAATCATTGCATTTATTTTTAGCACAACCCAGGGCTTCAATCCGGTCAGCCATTACAAGAAACAGACTCATTGTCTTATACAAGTTGAACAATGTGGGACAGGAACGGGAGTTCTCACAATCACAGAAAAATACTTACAAGAATAACATCAGACATGATTTATTTCAACAGCATTTTTTTTCACAAGCTAACATTAGTTTTCCTTTTGTGATTTTGTTTTTTAACTGCTCATGAGTAATCAATACTTTAGCTTGACACTCATTGGTTTTATTGTATTAAACGGGTTTCTTCACTCCCCGTTTATTGATACTTTTGGCTCATGGCTAATTTTTGTTCCTTACAAGACTATTGATTTGATTGATTGTAGTCTATGGAGATCTCCAGGAGTGAATTTTTGCAGTCTCATGTTCATTGTTTAAGATCACATACCACATCTCTTCAGATTGTGTCATTTCCCTGTTTCAGATTGAATGATTGCTGTAGCTGATATATGTTGTCTTGGTAGAGGAAGCTGTTAAGATAAATGAGGACAACTTAAAATAGTATATAATAATACATCATTTTGTTAATATGATTTTAAAATTCAAGTCCTGTAATGACTTTTTTACAATATCCAGCTTTTACAGTATGTTATTCATTATTTTTAAACCATTCTCAGTCATGCACAGCGTGGCGACGTTTCAGCTCAACAGCAGACCACATTATATAAAGGTGGTCCCATAAGATTATAACGGAGCTGAAAAATTCCTATCACCCAGTGAACACATAACACAACACTTAACACAACGCATAATTCACATGTTTGTGGTTTGTTGTGTAAACAAAATTTCCTATCCTGCCAGTCATGAAAAAGCATGGCACATACAATTATATACAGTACATAATACCTGATAATGATAACGAAAGACTATGTTACTGGTTTAAGTATTTACTACACTATACTTTTTATCATTATTTTAAAGTGCACTTCTTCTACTTATACATTAGAAAGATAACTGTAAAACAGCCTCAGGCAGGTCCTTCAGGGGTATTCTCGAATAAGGCGTTGCTATTCCAAGAGATGACAGCTCAATGCTTGTTATTGCCCCTGAAGACCTTCCAGTGGAATCAGATGTGGAGGTGGAAGTGATATCGATAATCCTGACCCTGTGGAGGCCTAGGCTCGTGCGCGCACGCGCGCGTGTGTGTGTGTGTGTGTGTGTGTCTTAATTTTTAACACAAAACGTTTAAAAAGTAAAATGAATACATAAAAATAGAAAAAATTTTATCCTGGAGTAAGGGTATAAAGAAAATATTTTTTATAGCTGGACAATGTGTTTGTGTTTTAAGTTTTTATAACAAACAAGTCAAAATTTAAAAAGAATAAAAAGTTTATAAACTAAAAAGTTATAGAAAGCTAAAATAGTATATTACTGAAAAAGGAAATGTTTAAAATAAATTTAGTGTAGTCTAAGTGTAGAGTTTTTATAATATCTACAGTGGCCGAGTGTGGAGGCTCACGCCTGTAATCCCAGCACTTTGGGAGGCCTAGGCGGGTGGATCATGAGGTCAGGAGTTCGAGACAAGCTTGACCAGCATGGTGAAATCCTGTCTCTACTAAAAATACAAAAATTAGCCGGGTGTGGTGGCACATGCCTGAATCCCAGCTACTCAGGAGGCTGAGGCAGGAGAATTGCTTGAACCGAGAGGCAAAGGTTGCAATTTACAGTACTGCCATGTCCTAGGCCTTCACATTCAATCACCCCTCATTCACTTAATGACCCAGGGCAACTTCCAGTCCTACAAGTTCCATTCATAGTGAGTGCCCTATTTACATGTATACCATTTTTATCTTGTACACTCTATTTTTACTGTGTCTTTACTATGTTTAGATAGGTTTAGATATACAAATATCCATTGCATTACAATTGTGTACACAATTCAGGACAGTAACATGCTGTACAGGTTTGTAGCCTAGGTAGACTAGGCTATACCATATCGCCTAGGTGTGTCGTAGGCTATACCATTTGGTTTGTGTAAGTACACTGAATGATGTTTGTACAAAGACAAAACTGCCTAACAACACATTTCCTAGAACATGTCATTAAGCAATGCGTGACTGTAGTAAAAATTAAATAACAGCAGAAATAAAAATGCTGCAGCAATTTTAATATGTCAGTCAGTAGCCTCATTTATAGTATATAGATATTTACTAGAAAACTAAAAACATAAAAGTGCTAATCTTTAATGTTTTGGTAAAATTTTGCATTTGCATATATGTAAAATGAAAGAACAGATCAATTATCTGTCCTACAAAACACAAAAAATATTTTTTACTACCTAAATCAAAGACCTCAATTCTTAGAGGCTGATGTAATGACCAAAAAAGTTAAGTAATTATAATTAGCTGTCCTATGAGAATGAATACCTCTTCCACTTAAAAATACACAATAATCTTAGACTCTAGAGGTAAACATGCTAAAATATCAAATATATAGAATGGTAAATATGTGAATTGCCATTGCATATTTATGGTTTCTTTTGGTTTCATCAAATGGAGACAAATGAAGATATTTAAGAAAATAAAGACTCTGAAAAGAAATGTTTAATTGTTCTGTTACCAACATACTATAAAGTAAAACTCATTATTGTAAGACCATTACAGAGATATTATGCCAAAATATACTCATGCCTAAGATTCTGGAGAATATAAATCTAAATTCAAATAATTCCTTTGTATTTTTGAAAGATGTGATGCAATGAATCTCTGTCCTAAAATTCAAATGTGATGTCCTATTTTTTTGTGTAATTCTGGAATGAATAACGGTAAGATAAAAGATATTTTAAAAAGCAAAGAATGTATGTGTTTCAATACATGAATCCAATTCAGGATGAAACAGATTTTTAGAAAATAATGTATTTATTGAACATCGAATAAGACTAGAAATTGTAAAGTTCCTCCTCTGAAATAACTGACAATCAGACTCATTCCATTGTAGTGACACTATTGATGGACTAGACAAGTTCTTACCAGAGACCAAGTTCATACAAAGTTCACAACCACTAAAATTAACTCAGATAGCCCTAAGAAGTGCTACTACAGATGTGTTCTGTTATTTTTTATTTCATTGAATATTATGAGCTTCAGGCTAAAAATAGTTGACATATTTGCTTATCTTATCCACATTGCTTACCCTTCTAAGTTATTACTGTGGCACAGTGCAAAGGAAGTAGACGTTAGACCTGGTTTTGAACTACATTCTAGTCCCTGCAAAATAGTGAAAAAAAGTCATTGGGCCAGGTTACCGGGCCTCAGTTTTATCACTGGTTCAAAACCTACAATACTGGGTTCCTGTAAGGATGAAAGCAGAATAGACTGGGATGGAACAGCTGTAATCTGGAAGAATCAATATAGAGCCAGCCTCCCTCCCACCCTCCCTCCCTTCTTTCCTTCCTTCCTTCCTTCCTTGCTTCCTTCCTTCCTTCCTTCTCTTCCTTCCTTCCTTTTCTTTCCATGAACCATACATGAGACCTAATGGAGTTGTAGTTTCTACTTAATCTTTCCAAAGGTAAAACATTTGTTACATTTGGTTTGGTGTGAAGTGAAACACAATGATTTTCTATGATCACTCACTTTTACTTTTCATTTTTAATTTATATAATGCTCTCATACGCCTCTAAATTTCCTCTAAGAAAATAAAATCTGTTCTTTGGTTCTGTTTTTGAAGGACTTTAGTCTTCACAGACAAGGTGGAGAAAAATTGTCATAAGAGTGATAAAAATGACTGTTAAAAGGGTCATCCAACTTCCTGCACTGTTCAATATTTTCAACAATAACTAAAATGTAGGAAATGGTTATAAAATTTGTATATAGCTAGAAAAAGAATTATGGGCGAAATAGAGTAACAAGAGCTGATAGATATTGAACAATATAGTTTTCAGAAGATGTCCATTCCACAGATGGCAGTTTGGATCAGACCAGTTTTAAGGATCTTTCCAACTTTGGGGATCTGTAGCTAATTAAAAATTTATATATTATTTTTTGAACTCTTAAACATTGTTTCTAGAAAGAAAGTGGTAGGATTCTATTGAGAATTGAGAATAGAATTCACAAAAGGAGAGTAATGCTAATTTTTCTACTGGTTAGAAAAGGAAGTGTAAGGCTCTGGAAACAGATGATTTAGTCAACATGAAAGCAATGATAAGGGACAAACTTTGTGGGCGGCAGATATCTCGCAAGAATCTTTATCCCAGAAGTACTATAGAGCAAAATGAATCAGAGATGTACAGATGAGTTCATAGGGAGATTTTTTTCACAGTGGTGATGAATATGCTCATATGAAAATCAGTTTTTGAGCACAGCAACAGTAAATTAATTTCCTTGTGTGCACCACACTGTGTTCATAAGCTAGAGAAAACAAATCTACCTCCAGCAGCAGCTGTTTTCATGAATTATTCATGAACATAGCTTAAAGAATACTATGTACAGCATTTGTTAATTAGGTACAGTTGGCAAAATTCATATATATCAACTTTGTTTCTAACTCCCATCACACTCTGTTGTGAAATAACACTTGACCTTTTTTAAAAATGTAAACTATAGTCTGCAAATTCAGCAACTAACACGGCATTCATTGGTTTCCCATCCAGCTTCATATTACTTACATTTATTCTGTGTAACTTTAGAAACTTTAAAATCTTGGACACAAATTTACCCTTTCATTGTAGAATGGCCATGTAAGTGAACAAAGGTTAAAAATGGTGACCTGGAGTAGGATTGTGGAAGGATGTAGAAAGATGTCATACATCTTTCTCTCCTGAATGAGTACACCATAATCACTTTACTTGGGCCCAACTTATTCAAACCAAATTATACTCCTGTAAAAGATCAATGCACTAAAATCTCCAAAGTACAATTAAACCTTTTTTTTTAGGCAGTAATTGATATTATCTTGATTCACTTTTTGACTTTACCTGACCTTCTAAAAGTGAGCATCTGACTCCTCCAGAATATTATAGGCTTACCCACCAAATAGGCCTTGTTTTTGCAGTCTTTCATTCTTATTTTAGAGAAAATAGAGAAATACATGCATGCTATATAATTTCCATTTCAACTCAACATTAACAGGAAATAACCAAAGGAAAACAGTGTATGTATGAGATTTACTTCAACAATATGAGATTAGTTCCTATCAATACTGAGAATTTTGTTTTTCAGGGCATCTATTTATTCTTTAAAGTGTTGAAAAAGTTTATTAAATTTTTTCTCCACCACTTTCCAAAGGTGAGTCTGGATGACTGGTATTTATATTACTCTATGTTTGGTTCTTTTATTTGGCAACCATATTTTATAAAGTTTTCTGGATTGTTGCTAAAAAAAAAAAAAAAAAAACCAGAGATCGAGAAAAACAGGTATAACAATAGACTCTGGTGAGTCATACTGAGACATGCCAGTGTTCAAATTATATCACTGGCCAACAGCAGTTTATTGGCATCCTATAATAGGTTTCGACTTCCTACACTGATGTTCTCAAGGTAGGAATAAAGATAAAATTCTGTCCTCAAATCGCAAGCATTGTACTTTGATGCCTTTAATGGCAGTTATGAAATAGGTTTATCATTAGTAAACTTCTTACCTATACTCAGAGATGATTGTAATGATTTGTTACTAAAGCCCATCCTTACCTTGCTTCTCATATTTCTTACTTCACAAGGTTTCATGTTTGCAGAAAGGTGAATATGTGGGGGGTGTTTGTGAAATTCTTGTAAAGTTCATTTCTCTACATGTGACTAAATTTGGTACTGGTGACCTGAAGGTAATCTTTTTAGAACCAATCTGGCTAATGATTCCAGGTAAGCTGACAGTAACTGAAACCAATATGTCTAATTAAGCAATGCTAATTAACTATCACGGGATAGTTCTGTGTATGGTAAATTAGAGTAGACAATGTTCATCCAGAAATCTTGATGGAAAAGAAGGTTTGTAGATGGAATGTAGACCATAAGTTGCTACAATAATTAAACCAAATAAAATTAATTTTTAGTTTTTTCTTGTATTTAGTGTCAAAAGTATAGAGAATAGGGGAAACAGACTGCTGGATGAATATGAGAGGAAGAGAATATTTTTGCATAGGATTTTGTCCTTAATTACTGAATGCCTGGGCAGGTGTGGTAACTCACACCTGTAATCCTAGCACTTTTGGAGACTTAGGTGGGAGGATCACTTGAGCCTAGGAGTTAGAGACCAGCCTAGGCAACATAGTGAGACCCTGCCTCTACAAAACAAACAAACAAACAAACAAAATTAGCTGGGCATGGCGGCACATGACTGCAGTCCTAGTTATTTGGAAGGCTGAGGTGGGAGGATCACTTGAGCCCAGGAGGTAGAGGCTGCAGTTAGCCTAGATCATACCACTGCACTCCAGCCTGGGCAACAGAGCAAGCTCCTGTTTCAAACAGAAAAAACAAATATTGAATACCTATGCTATATTCCAAAAGACTGGAAGCCACTCTAACACAAGTACCTTTGCTTTTCTTTCTTTTTTGATTCATCTGTAGAACCTAGTAAGGTAAAGTTGTAATGTTTACCATATTCAGCTTTCTGGTATTTTACCATACAAATCTTCAATCTATATTTGCCACTCTTTCATAGATACCAAAATGGGCTTCAATAGATCAGTTAAATTCTACTGGTTGAGCACAGATTTCTGTGTATTGTTATCATGTGCTCCTTCCTGGGTGGACTGTAGAGAAGAAAATAGGTAAAGAAAAGAAAAAAAATGGAAAGGTGGCTGTAGAAAATATTCTATTTCCAGGATCATGAGCCTTTTAAGAAGAACTTTAATTATCTTAATAAATCCAAGAAGTGAAGTCAAGGGAAGCCCTCAGGAAGCCCAAGGAAAGGGGACCATGTGGGAGAAACAAGTATTGACTGTGACTTAACTAAATGTATTGGCTAATTAGAGTTCTCATTTCCCTAAAGGCACAAATAACATCATTTATTTGTGTAAGATCTGTAGTAGCATATTCCATAAATATCAGTAAACTATTGATACTATAAAAAGCACCTAATATTGAACAAGAAAAATTGTGGAATTGTTTCTAAGTACTAAAATACAACTTTTATAAAAAGATGATGCTTTCAAATATCAAGTTTCATAATGCTTCAAAAGAAAGATATGAAATGTCATGCTTTGTAAAAGAGATTTTGTGAGCAAGTTTGTACTCCGTAGAACAGCCTCTCATCTTGAGACCATTTGCTTTTAACCAAATGGTTCTAAATGTGATGGTGTAACGGTATGTGGGTACCACCATGCCCATGGAAACATGTAGCACAATCCCCAAGACTAGGAGAAGAATGTTCAACGTACATCTATTAGGAAGTGCTCCCGCTCTTGACCATCGGAAAGTCTACAGATGACTTACTGTTGGTTTCAAGACTCTCACAGAGTTCACTTTTCACCTCGCCATTTGGTCTGTCATTTCCTTTTTGGATCAGTTTGCTTTGCATGGTGGCAGCTGTCACCACAGCCTTGAAGCTCCTTTTGCGTTTTTGAACATTCTGTTCTGGATGAAAAATTATAATATAAACCTTGGGCATATAGAGCATGCCCAGAGACACTGAAGCACTTAAACTCATGGAGACAGTAAGTGTTGTTGTCTGGATGTACATCTGAGGGGAGAGAAAAAAAAGAATAACTATTGGTAAGCCTAACAGTAGGAGATAAAGCAAATAACATACCATTTTCTAAAATTGTTTCAGCTTCTCTGCTAAAGGCACATTAAAAGGCATTTATTGAAATTGTCCTTAATTACAGTCAACGATTCCTGTTATCCTAACCTGCAAATGTAAATGAGTAAGGTTATTTTTTAAACTGAACCCAATTTCTTAAAATAAAAATACAAACAACCAAGCTGGTGGAGCTTATTTTCCTTTTTAGATTATAAGTAAATATACGTAAGGAAGGCGACCAAACCAGTCTGGCAAAACACTAATACTTAATGCCACACAGACCTTCTTTAGAAGGTACTAGTGGGCCAAGTGTTATTTTAGCAATAAGTTTAACCCAGAAGGTAAGTATATATAGTGAAATAGAGTGGGAGTGCAACATTCCAGAACATCACTACTACACACCAGTACTTGAATAATGCTAGCGGTTGCATCTTCACATCATTACATAATTCCAACTACCAAATATAATAAATCACAAGCATGTCATAAGGGCTGGATTTTTTTTTAACAATCCCTCTAAAGAACACTTCCAGAAGGTTCTCAATGATAGCATCATATCAAAATAAGTCAATTGCTTTTAAGAAATATGTAAGATCTCCTCACTCCAAGATATATGCACTGGGGATATGGTCCTGGACACTGCATTCTGAAATTCTCCCCTGGTGCTCATTGCTTGCCCTTATCCCACTGAAATTGACTGCTCTGATACTTATGGACAGAGGGTCTTTCTGGAAGGCTTTGCTTTCTACAACCTAGAGGTTAAGAATCTGAAAAAAACCCAAGCTAAAATCACTGCTTTGGCTTTTTCTTTTTGGTTATGGTATGGAAGCAGAAACAGCAGTATTTCCTTCTTTACAAACAGAAACAAAAACCTTTGATCTGGTTCCATTTTTCATGTCCTGAGCTCAAAATAGAATTTTCCCCAAATAACTTGGGATATTGAGGCCACGGAGAAGCCACATCTTAAGACTGTAAACAGATTCTCCCTTTGTCATATCTACAACCCTCATTAGTAGATCTGTTCACTCTATTTACATCGCTGAATATTCTAATCCTGATTAGTTGGATTTTTAAAATATGTTTTAATCTGTTATTCTTGCTAAAATGTATCATACTAGTTAGATTTCATCTGGCAGTCCTCAAGATCAAACTAATTGTGTCCTTTTTAATGAAGGAACAACAGCAAAAAACAAAAAACAAAACAAAAAAAATTCACCCTCAAGGGTAAATAACTGAATCAGCATTAGTGTTGCCTTTTCCTAGAGGAGAAAGTTTCCCTTAACAGATGGCAAAACCTTGAGGTAAAGAACTGTCCAAACCATGAGCAGGATGTGAGGCACAAGTTAAGAGACTGTCTTTGGATATAAAATCATATCATGCACATTGCTGAATTTACTGTCCAATTCATCTACCACTAAGGCTGTCCTTGCATAAGAGACCATCGTAAGCCTGGAAAACCCTTTAACAAGATTTACTACAAAGTTTACATGATTTACTACAATTAAGATCATCCCAATGAAATAGGGATATGTATCTTTACAGCTCATAAATCTCCCTAAGCTTTGCCATCTACTTTTAAGCAACCTGTTATTGTAAACATTCCTAAGCTTCTCTAGTGTTGGTTAATCTTTTTTGAGTTCCTGCTTATTTTCAAGCTAGTATTGCTGCAAAAATCTACATAGAAAATGCACTGCAGAGAGAGGACATAAAAGTAAGAAAAGAATGTGGCAAAGTACAAACCACACCCATACATGTTCCAATGCCACTCAAAGAAAACCATCAGTTTTGTTCCAGTCAGACTCTTTCACATCAATTTAGCCTAAAAATAGACAAACAAATCCAGCATTGAAACAGCCATAAAATGATGGGAACACCTATACTGATTAGTTGGATTTTTTAAATGTGCCTTAATATGTTAGTCTTGCTAACATGTATAGTACTAGTCCAAGTCGTATAAAAATATTTTTGTAATAAACATCCTATAAGTTTTCTCTGCTACCAAAAATATAAATGATAATAGTCTTCTCTTATTTGGAATAACTTCTGCGATATATAGTAAATTTAATCCTGCTAGATATTAGACATGAAGAGGACTCTGGAATGCTAGCTTCCTCGTTAAATAAATTACCGCAATCTATCCTTTTGGCAAGCCAACTCAATGAAAGATGTAATAAACACAGACATTAGAATTAAATAGTACCATGGTTAGTGTAGCAAGCTCTTCATCAGATGCTATACTTTCAAATTATACCAAAATGCTGATCTTAATTATGTACTTTCTTAAAACAGCTTCTGAAAATTTTTAATGTGAGTTTAATACAGGAAAGGCATCTAACAAAATCCTTAGCAAACTAACACAAGAATAGAAAACCAAATACCGCTCGTTCTCACTTATAAGTGGGAGCTAAATGATGAAAACACATGGAGACATAGAGGGGAACAACACACACTGGGGCCTTTTGGAGGGTGGAGGGTGTGAGGAGGGAGAGGATCAGGAAAAATCATAACGGGTACTAGGCTTAATACATGGGTGATAAAAGTAATCTGTACGACAAACCCCTATGACACAAGTTTACCTATATAACAAACCTGCACTTGTATCCCTGAACTTAAAATACAAGTTAAAAAATCCACAAAATCATACCCTAAAGTCCACAACCTTACAGTGGTCTAGCATTTGTTATAGGACCATGGACTATGTATGATTACACTGAGTTTTTGAAATTCATCTTTGAAAAAGTCATACATGTCATAACCTCAATGAAAGCAGTAACAGCAAAACAAGCAAAGAAATATAAATGCCACCTACTGTCATTCTAGAGAAACTCAATCCTTAATAGCATGGATTATAGAATTCTGAATATCTCCCGTATTTAATAAGAAGTTAAGAGACTACGTTTAACATTGGAAAATGAGCTCTTGATTTTTTAAAATGCATGGATTTTTGTATACCTATAGAAAATTCTAATTGCTTGAGCCATACAGGAACATAAAAGTTAAAAAAAAATCCACAAAATCATATTGTGTGATAAAATAATCTGTACAACAACCCCCCATGACACAAGTTTATCTGTATAACAAACCTGTACTTGTATCCCTGAACTTAAAATAAAAGTTAAAAAACACACACACAAATCATACCCTAAAGTCCGCAACCTCACAGTGGCCTAGCATTTCTTAGAGGGCCGTGGAAGGAATATGTCCCAGTAGACTGGGTATGAACTCTAGAACCACTACTTATATACATTTTTTTAAAAGATAAAGTTTACAGCTAAACTCTAGAGTTACTTTCTGGGTGATAAAAGCCCCAAACCAACCCACCAGGCTACAGTCCAAACTAATGAATCTTCCCTGGTTATTGGACAAATACGTTATCTTATTTTCTTCTCTGAACAGTAAGTTCTTATCTATGTCACGGGGTGGGTTTGGCAGTAATACTTTTCTCATAGAGGAGTTACAGGGTTACAAGAGAATGACATAAAATCTCTTACAGATACAAGATAGCTCAAGAAACATTCTTTACCCTACAACTTTGCATCTAAATAGACACTAACAAAGTATCCTTCCAGGAGTATAGGACAAAGGAGGGAACAATTAGACACTTATTCAAACCAGACAGTTTTGTTTAGAGAAGAGCTGATAGCCAGGCTCTGACTACATGATGTCGAGAAAAAGGCCTTTGTAATCTCACTTCAATGTAGACAGAATAAAATTTTGTCCAAATGTGAACTCAAGACCATATTTATTGCCTGGGCCACATTCTTAGAATAATATAACAGCTCTTTATCTCAAAGTTACAGCTCATCAGAATGCAGAAGGGGACTGTATTAACTCCCACTAGCCCACAAAAATTCAAGAGATGCTAGCAATGATACTGGATATGTTAATAATAATCTTCTCTTTCCCAGCCTGCTCTTATGTGCTCCCTCCTGGCCCTGTCACTCCAAAATACTAACACGCAGAGGATGGGGACTATCTTTTTTATCACACGCACTGATGGCTTGTTACTCTGCCTCCACGCCCCATGGACATTTTGAACCTGAAGCAGTCAGATGCACTGAAGCAGATTTAAGCAATCTCTAGATAAGCCAGGGGTTAGCTGTGGCAATGGAGCATACTAATACGAAATTTCTTCTGGGACCTATTACAGTTACCTCTTCAAACTCTGAATAGGCCATTTGTACATATCAAGGTCTACTCAATGTAGGTCATGACGTGGAATCATTTAGACTCCGGGAAGAGTGAGGAGGGAGAAGAGTATATTTTTCCAGGATAAAGGTCAGTCTTTTGCTTTCAACCAGCTACCAGTGCACAGACCGCCACAGACTCTGACATCCAACCCGGTATGTTTGCAACCCCTTAGCAACTAAGGTAAACTATTATGAAATCTAACACTCAAAGCAACCTTATGTCACGTAATAAGAAACAGATTCAGTATTTATTCCTGAATATTTCTGTGATGGTTTAATCTTCCCACTTTGTTTTAGTCACCAGGTTCTGTTTGGCTGCTTTGCATATCACTTGACCAGTTAGAAAGCTACACTCACACTGACAGCCTGTATTTCTCTGCTTCTGTTTCTACTTCCTCATCTGTATGTCCGCCAAAGTGAAACTTGCATCAAAAAATGGGTTTTCTTTTGCTTTTTAGCAGACAATGGACTTCAAAATACCATTTACTACTAGAAGTGATTTTTTTTTTAAGATGAAGAAGTTTATAGAGAAACTGGAGTTGCCCTGTGGGTGGTAACACCCCTAATCAATCTGTCATGCAAAAGTCCAAACTCAGAAAATTCCCCTAGCAATTGAAAATTGCAAAAACCGGAGGCAACCATTCAGCTTTGCTGGATGAGCCTGGAACAACGACCAAGCTCATATCAAACGTTTTTATTTTGTTCCTGTCTTGTTTACATTAAATATCTTCCTAGTTTTACTACTTAGTCCTTTTCTCTATGTCTCTTGCTCACTTGCTGATCATATTTAGAATTATACACTTAAACTAAGACAGGCTTCATGGGTGTGCACTTGTACACTAGACCCTGTACTAGGAGGACCCCATGCTTGGTTTAATGCTCTGCTGCGAATGTTTTGAAGTCTGTAATAATTGTTAGACTCCTGCATTTTCATTTCTTACTGGACTCCACAAATTATATAGCTAGTCCTCTTTTAAAAATCACTTATACACTGACAAATTCCAGGCTTTTCTTAGGAAGGGCATTTGCCTTTTGGGTCACTCTCTTCGGTGTCTGACAGCATCTGCAACGTAACAAGCCTCTGATTCCCAATCTTCATCCCTAAACTTGATCTCCCAGTGGTCTACTTTACCTCATTAATTCCATGCTTCTAGTTCTTGGGGGAGGGGGTGGACAGGGAACTTGAAATTGTCTATTACTTCTTTTTTATACTTCCACCCGATCTATGGCCAAATCCTATTGATTCTACCTTCAAAATTTGCTCAGAACGTTCAGCATGTCTCCACTGGTGTTACATTGCTCAGAACCATCATCATCTCTCATTTGGATCAGTACCACAACTGTCCTAGTGTTCTCTTTCCTGCTGCCCTTGCTCTCTTCTGTGTGAGCATTTGATTGATCCTAACACAGAAGCTAGAATAATCCCATTATCCATAAACAAAATTAGGTCACTCCTACTCTCCAAAGCCTACTCGCCAATGACATCCCATTGATGATATCTTTACAATTGTCCACAAGATCCTCTGAGAACTCCTCTGGTTTACTCTTTTTTTAAAACTCATTCTCTTCCACCCATACTGGCTCCCTGGCTGATCTTGGAACATACCAGGCATGCTTCTACTTTCAGACTTTTATATCTGGTGGCTTGCCTCTTTACTGCCTTCAGGTCTTTACTGAAATGCTCCAGCTCAGTGAGACCTTTCCTGAACACACCTCTGAAAATTGTAACCCCCAACCTTCTACCAGTATTCCTAGCTTTATCACACTCCTTAGTATCTAACACATTATATCCTAAAAGTCTATATACTTTACTTATTTAACATATGTGGTATCTGTTTCCCCTAGCTAGAATAAAGATTCCATGAATATTGGGAATTTTACTTGTGTTGTTCATGGCTGTAAACTCAGCACTTAGAAAACTGTCTAGATAACAGACATTCTCTATAATCTTTTGAGTTGGTGTGGGTTCATACTCCCAAATTTGGGTTCTAAGGAACATAACTCATGTATTTCCAAGAAGGAAAAAAACAACAGGTACTAAAACTAGAAAACATCAGAAAACTGGAGGACTGGAAGACTCCATTCATTTTCATAGCGACCTCTAGGCTGGGAGAGAAATGTAATTTTGGGCAGATAAACATAATGCCCTTTTAAACAGTCAACTTGGTAATAATGGGCCATTTTGCTCTTGATGAGCAATGAACAGCATAATTCAAAGTCAGTGGTTTTCACTTTGGGAATAGGAGAGCTCTGAACTCTGCCCTCAATACCTTCCCAAGTTAACTGTATAACTGAGGGTCAGGCATTCACATTACTTCTAAGCTTTCAAAGACTTAAATCAAAGGATTTAATGAGACAATGTATACAAACACTAGCACAGAGCCTGGGATATATTAATTAATAACAGATAGCTCTTATTGTCATTATTTAACCTTGACAACCTGTTCTCTATTCATCTTCCTTTATTCTCCACACCAGAAACACTTAACGCTACTTCTCTCTCAAAATCAGCTTCAAGACTTTTAGCCTTTATAACAGAAACACACACACACACACACACACACACACACACACACACACACACAAGCAAAAAGGCTTATTCATAAGGAAATATATGGTTGTGGGAAACTTGAGAGTCACCACAGCAAAGAATTATAGTCCAATTTAACTCTGGGAAAAATCACCGTCCTGAGCGTTGTGTTTCTCCTGTCAGGTAGAAGTCACAGTGCTGCGGACCCAGCAGCAGGTCAGATACACTGCACTGTGTTTTCATTAGTGGAGGTGGAGACCAGTTGTCTGTAATCCATTTGCAGTCACTTATCACGTCCCCTTTTGGCTCAGGACACATACTTGCAACATGAAGAGTCAAATCAAAAGCTCTGAATGAAGAACTGTGAAGGAAGACTACAGATGCAGAGCAGGGCGTCTTCTCCCTCCTGTGAGGTCTTTCTGAACCCTTCACCTTGGAACGATTGGGAGAGGTGGAAACCAGCTGAAGAGAATGATGCAGTATCAACCAACAAGCAGAATATCAGCTTCGCTAATGATAGGAAAGAACCATGTAAGTAAGCTCAAGATCTGTTAAAGAAGGAAAAACATCTATCTGATTTCTAATGACTATAATTAAACATAAGTGATCTTTAATATTTGGATTAGTAAATAATTTGTTTTTATTAAAGCCTGATGGAAAATGTGAAAACAGAGTAAATTTTTAAAAGCATGGCATTATTAAATAAAATGCAGTCTTTAATTTTCAATTATTATATATGAGAATTATTTACAGAAATATAGTAAATAATCAGTGATGTTGCATTTTCTACTGGGATATGTACATGAAAATTAATACAAGGTGTCTACTCTCTCAGTGCTTATTAATTCCTCCTTTACAGGTATTTTTGCTCATGTTTCCTTCGTGCATTTCTGCTTTCATGGTACCTTTTGGCCCTGTATCACCGCAGCAGCATGGTCAGAATTGGGAATAAGAGTAATGGGGATGTCTTTAATTATTATTATTTGAACGGATATCAAAATATAACAAATAATATTTTCAGGTGCAGAACAAATAAATAAAAGTATAAATTCGTTTAGAAAGAAGCGAAGAAGAGGAAACAATTGTTTGAGGAACAAAACTTATCTCTGAACTATATTTTAAAGTATGTCTATCTCTATCTATCTGTCTATAGTTCTAGAAGCCAGGAAAAAAAGAAAATATGTTGAATCCTATATTTATCACTGCCTAGAGAAATTTTAGGCTAAATAATAAATTCAGGTTGTGTTATCTAAGGAAAGCTGGTAAAATTATGAAAATGGTTTCAACTGTAGTTTTGCGAAAGGCACTAAATCTTGATCAAGTAGATATTTTCTCTGTAACCCTTTTTAAAGACAAAATAATTGATTCAGTAACTCAGTGCAGGTGCTTTTGTGGATGTACATGATGTTTTAAAAGTGCTATTTTTTTTTTTCTGGTGATATCCCTTAATATAGGAGGAATCGAGAAGAATGGTGTTATGGGCTGAATCGTGTCTCCTCCAAAATTTGTATCTTGAAGGCCTAACCCCCAGTACCTCAGAATGTGACTGCATTTGAAGATGGGGTCTTTAAAGAGGTAATTAAGCTACAGTCAGGTCATTTTGGTGGTCCCTAATACCATATGACTGATGTGCTTATAAGAAGAAGAAACTGGGACATAAGACACACAGAAGGAAGATCACATGATAATACAGGGCAAAAGATAGCCATCTACAAGCCATGGAGAGAGGCCTCGGAAGAAACCAAGCTTGTTGACACTTGGATCTCAGAGTTCTAGTATCCAGCACTATGAGAAAATTAATTTCTGTTGTTTAAGCCACGCTGTGTATGATACTTAGTTATGCCAGTCCTGGAAAACTAATAGGAATGGGGAGTTAATATCACTGAAAAAGTTCTGAAAGTTCTGTGATAGTAGTTGGTTGTGGTTAAATATACCAATAGAATCTCAAAGATGTCTGGTATTGAATAAAACTATGAGTTTAGATACTGTACAAGAACTACAACCACAACATCTATCAATTATTGAGGATCAGGTACAGTATTATGCCAAAACTTTTATGCACTTATTTAACCCCTCACACTAATCCTGTAAGGTAGGAATGAATAAGTCTATTTTTGAGAATTACACAGTCACGAAGAAGTCATTTTTGAGACACAGTCATTTTTGAAAAGTCATACAATACTTGAAAATAAAGTGTAGCTTCAAACTGAGGTTTCTCTAATTTGAAAGCCCATATCCTTACCACACACCATCTGGCCCCCATAAATACACCGAGAAGTGAAAGAGCAGGATTAATATGACTTGAGTCCTCTCCAAATCAGAAAAGCATCCTTTTGCTAATAGATTTGGGCCAAATTTCTTCTAAATGATAGAGGCACAGTTAAAGCACTTCAATTAATATTTAGTTGTGCATTTAGAGGGTTTCTGCTGTTATTAATCAGCTACTTTCTTCATAAATAAAAACTTCGTGTGGATCCTAGAGCAGCTCTGGCTTTCTTAGAACTGTATCTTGTTAAGCTTGACAAAATAATCTAGCTGAGAATATGGGCCCGAAGAGCTGGATAAGTTACTCTTTTAAATGATGTTTAGCATTGAGTTTGCACTGGGCTGGAGCAGAAAAGTGTCTGATGAACCACTGACCACCAGAAGGAACAGGGATTCTCTATATTCAGAAGACAAATTGCCAGCACAGCGTTGCTGCATAGGCACCATTCCACCTCTATAGCACCAGAGACAGGCTATTGATAATACAGCAGGCAGGCCAAGTTGGATTCAAATATAGATGAGCTGACAACCAAGAATTAGCAAATACTTGAGGAGAACCAAGACACCTTACAAAGAGAATAGTATAAACATACAAAAATAGATCCAATAGAGCAAAAGAAGGAAGACAGTGGAAATAACACTATTGCTATCTTAGAGAAGTTTTGAAAAAATAACAAATCCATAAAAATGTCAAATAAATTCATAGAAGCTAGCATTTTAATCATTAAAATAGCATTAGGAGATATACCTAATGTAAATGACGAATTAATGGGTGCAGCACACCAACATGGCACATGTATACATATGTAACAAACCTGCATGTTGTGCTCATGTACCCTAGAACTTAAAGTATAATCAAAAAATAAAATAAAATAAAATCTCAATAGATGAAGGACTTCTGATTCTGGCTAGGGAGGAGTAGCTATAATCAAACCAAACCAACTTCTGATAATAACTATAAAACAATCATAAAGTTAAGAAAAAATAAGACTATTTGGAAGCATCAGAGGAGAACCAAGGTAGCCAGGACTCAGGGGGCCAAGATCTTAGGAAGGAAAAAGAAAGCACATTGACATATGTACAACACTCTCCACTGCTTCTTATTCCCAGGTAACATATTGATTCTACATAGGAAAGACAGAAATCTTTAGATAGACGTGTCAGCAGCCTCATGGACAAGAGAGATAAAATCTGGAATTTGGGGTTATCATTGCAGTCAAGACTTAAGGACCCACAATTCTAGGGTACTACAGAGTAGTAAACCTGGTATTTTACACCATTTTTTTCCTTGAGACTTTGCTGAATCCTAAGTGTAAGAAAGCAGCAAGCTAAAAAGAAAAAAAAAAAAATCAAACATAATTTAGATTCAGAGAGAATTCAGTTAGAATTCAGGTCCATGGAGGAGAACAATTACTCATAAACATATCAGACATTTAGCTAATATATCTAAAGGGATATTGCCGAGGAGTAAAGGTAAATCAGAAATAGACAAATCCATAAAAACCTGAAACTTATCCTCAAATTATCCCAATCCCAGATTATATCAAGGTGAAATGCCTTGGTATATATATTTCAATTGCTGACTAGTAGAAAATTGAAGGCTCTCTAGAGGGAAATAACAATATACATAACATCTACATTTTTAAAAAACGTGCAATGTCAGATATTCAATAAAAGATTACCAGCCAGGTATGCTAGGACACAAAAACAAATGACCAAAAACCAACGGCAAACAACAACAAAAATTAAACAGGTGATAGAAATGGTGCCACAGATGATCAGACACCAGGCTTCTCAGACAAAACTTTAACATTAATGTATTGAAGAAAATACATATAAGATATTTTTGCCAGAGGACTGGAGTGTGTGTGTGTATTTATGTGTGTGTGTGTGTACTCAAGTCAAAAATTGTAGGAGTGAAAAATATAATAATTGAATTGAATAGATGAGTTTAATAACAAATTAGCTACAGGGAAGGAAATGACCGATGACCTGAAAGAAAATCAATAAAAAATCAGTAAAAAAAAATATCCACAGTGAAGGATGGAGACTATAAATATTTTTTAAATCCAGAAAGAAATTATTGGAGATATATAAAACATGATACAAATTTGAATAAATATGAATCTGAAGTCCTAGAAAGGAGAGATATAACAGGTAAAAAGGAACACTTAAAAGAGACACTGGACAATAATTTTTCAAAACTTATGAAAAATAATCTATTAAATTGTACAGAAAAAAAATTATCAGATGGCCACATTCTGGGAAATCCTACAAATTTTCAAGAATTTAAATACAGGGTATGCTATTTGACTAATGTGAAATCAGATTAGAAAATAGAACTAGGTTGGAAATAAATAACAAAAGATAAGAAAATTGTCAACTGTTTGAAAATTAAACAATACATTTCTAAATCACTCATAAGTCAAAAGAAAAACAATGGAAATTAGCAAATATTTTGAACTGAATAATAATCAAGATACAACATATCAAAAGTCATGGGATATAGCTAAAGCAGACACGACAGAAGAAATCTTGATATGGTTATTCATCTTAAAAAACTAAAGGGAGAGAAAATTAAATCCAATCAATATAGAAGGAAGGAAATAATAAAGATAAAAGTCAATAAAACAGAATACAAATGTAACATAAAGAAAATCAGCAAAGCTAAAAAAAAATCTTTGGAAAGACTATAAAATTAAACAACTCACAAGGTTGACCAACAAAACAAGAAACAAGACATAAATTGCCAATAATTTGGTAATTATTCCTAAAAAGGGAAGAAGATGTGATATAAGATTTTAAAAATATGCCAGCAAATTAGTTCTAAATGTTGTTAGCCAAAAAGAAAAAAATAGTTTAAGTGTATATTTAAGGTTTAAAGGCAACTTAGAAAAAAATGAAAATAGGATCTAAAACTCCTGAACTATCAAATAAAAAAAAAGAGAGAAAACTTGATCAGTTAAAATAATTTCAGAGAAGACAAAAAAAGAAACATGAGAACATAGTAAAAAGAAAACAGAAAACATTAGCAAACATAAATCGGTGATTTTCATAATAAAGACTAAATTCCCCATTTAAAAATAGATATTATCAGCTTTGATTTTAAATTGTATTCTCAAAAAGAGAAAAGTATATGTAAAGATTATAATAAGCCAAGTGAAAAATACATTTTCTATGCCAGAAAAATGTAGACACTGAAATCTGGAAAGTAATATTAATATAGGACAAAATAGAATGCAAGATAGAATCATTAAATTATGCAAAGAATATACATACACACACTTAACAATGCATTATCACGATGTATGTAAGCAACACATCATAGAAATGCAAGGATAGACAAATCCATAAGCATCTTGAGAGATTTTAATTCATCTTTTCAAAGATATAAATTTGATTATACAACATATAATTAAGAATAGTTTGAATGACTCAGTAATAAAGTTATCATTTTCATTGCATTATTTTAAAATATAAATGAGCTTCACAGAGATCAATTATGAATTAGGTTATCCAGCAACAAAAATCAAATTTTCATAACAGGAAACATGAGACTATATCCTTTCACCTAAAAAGGCAATCAAATTAAAATTATAATTTATAAATAAATATGAGTATTTATTTGGAAACTAAATATCATCCCTGTAAGTCACTCATATAAAAAGGAAAGTATAAACTATTTAGAAATTGAATAATCCTGGAAACAGTATGTATGAAAATTTGTGGATACAACCTAAGTGGTGCTTGAAGGAAAATTTCAAGTCTAAAATGGCAATCTTAGGGTGCAGGAAATCTCAAAAATTAATCATGAAACTACGTAAAGTTTAACAGAACAAAAAGTAAACTCAATAAAGAAAGAAGAAAGTATTTGATATAAAAGAAGAAAGCGATAAGACAGAAAACTGTAATAGTCATAAACTATATCATATTTGGTAATATGATAAGCCCACATAGAAATGAAAAATAAGATACAAGTACAGGTACAAATTAGATTTTTAAAATTATAAAAGCAAATTTTGCATAACTTTATACCACGAAATATATGTATCTAGAAAAAATGCAATATTGCCCAGGAAATAGATACTAGAAGTGAGAAAACAAAACAAAACTATGTAGAACTAAAACTATGGTGGGTAAATCAGAAAGGTGGTACACGACTGACAGAATGATGATGACCCTGTCCAAGAGAGAGCCAGGGTTCTTTTTACTAAACCTTGGAGTGAGAACAAGGAAAACAAGAAATGTATTTACCCCCAGCTCCTGTGCTGTTCTCCTACCTCTCATCCT